TTACGTAGAGCTCATGAAATAAATCATTATAAAAGTAAAGAACTTTATGAATTAATCCTTCCATTATTATCACCTTTGTTAGAATGTGTTGATTTCAAATTAATTCATCCTTCAATATTGGCAAATATTATTGAACCATTGGATTTAGCTCCTTCTGAAGTTTTGGTAGATGCATTTAAATATCAAACACAATTACCTCCTGGTGTAGGTCCTAAAAGAAATAGAGGCATTATTACCGCGAAACCTGGAAATATGAGACTTCAATGGGATCAAAATGCTCATGGTCCAAATATTTTTGTTCTTGAGAATAATACAGTTCTTAAAAGTCGTTCAAGAAAATCTGAATTTGCAAGAACAACTCTACCAATTCGAGGTCATGAAATATATGAATGGGATATTATAATAGAGGAAGATTGTAAATATATTTGGATTGGTGTGTGTACTGAAAGAAGATTCGAAGTTAATTATTCAAATTGGTTAGGTGGAGAAATTTATGGTTATACACTTGGATCAAACGGTTCACTTGCTCACAACAGAGGTCCAAATAATGAAAAAATCTATAAAAAATTCTACTATTTATGGAACAAAATTTGGAAAAAATTCTCGTATTACTGTTCATTTAGATATGGGAAATAGAACTTTATCATTTTCAATTAATGGTGTAAAATATGGTGATGCATTTACTGATTTACCAAGTGAAGTTTACCCGGCTGTTTCATTAAAAAAGCCAGGAAAAGTTAGAATTGGTCTTCATCAAAATACTGTTTCGATGGTTGAATTGAATAATAATGGTCCAGTACAATAATATCTTGCATTTATTATTTATCGTTATTGAAAAATCTCGTTGTTTATATAATATACAATCGAGTTAAATTAAATAAATTGTATTTATTTGATTGTAGTATAAAATCTCTCTATCGTATAATTGGTGGTAGAATTACTGGATTATGGCATTTCACCATATCGATAGTATCTGATTGCCGTAAACATTATATTCTATAATGCAATGCCGTAATATTATAATACTTCAATATCGTAATGTCCCAATACTAGTTGTATTATGATTAATATAGGGTAGCTGCGCGATTCTGACAACAAAATTTGCGTCAGATCAGAATTTAAATGCGGAGTTTTGTTAGGATTAGGGGGGTACCTATGTTAACCTGGCGTAAATTTTATCTTTGGTTTAAGAACGTACATTTGAGTATCGCTAAGAGAAACCCGAAAATTTAAATATGACTTATATTAAATTTTCGGGTTTTCTTTTAGCGACACTCATTTATAGAGAGGTTTGATTGTATTTTAAAAAATACTCCATTGATAATTA